ATAATTTTCAGCTTTGTTATTAACATATATTAATATTATTTTTCCTTATTAACTTCTTTCTTTAAATTTACTTGACTCTATTTTTTTGAAATTCTTTTTGAAGTTTTAATCCGATTCATTCATTTGGGAGTTTCCTTTTTTTTTATCAAAATAGCTAAATCACTGATTCCTGTACAGGGTTGTTCAGCTATCAGTATCCAACATTCTTCGTTCACAAAAAAAAACAGAACGTTGACATTTTTCAATAATTTAAAAATGTGCTATACAGGGTCTTTTAAATAACTGCAAGTATTTTAACTTTTTAGCTTGTGACCTTCGTGCCCTGGTACCTAAGTTAAGGTAACATTGTATGTGTGTGCTCACCCAGAACCACCATTTAAAATATTTGCACTTTTTTAAGAAACGCCTTTGTAGCATTATACAGAGTGAGTCTTAAATAAGCGTGTGGAACTGAGTGTTCAGAAATATTTTTTCGGTTAAAATTGCTTGAAATTTACTTACTAGTTTTATCAGCATTAGGGTACACCAAAAAGAAATTTCTTTTTAATAATAATAGCTCCCGTTTATAGCGTTTAACGCCTTGGGAGTAGCAAGGTACAGCTTACCAGAGCCGTTCGGTATACAGGGAAGGTAATGTGACTAGCACTACGCTTCAACCGCCTATTATTACCTCAGGATTCTGAATTCCAAGTACTCATTTAAGGCAACCTAGGTACCCAAACTATATTTATTTTAATAAAAATAGTCGGCTGATGAAATGCCGGGTGTGGGATTCGAACTCACTACCTTTAGATTGGTAGACGAGAGCCTGTACCGCTACGCCACCGGGCACCTAGAATAAGATAAATAGATTCTACAAAATAAAATGGTTATTTTTTGTTTTGTAGAAAACAACAACAAGCTGATTTGTTAGAAAGAAATAAAATTTTACAAGATTTTTTTTTCATTATCGTGAACGATATAACTAAAATAAAAAAATATATATTTTTTTTGGTGCACCCTAATCAGCATGTGTATTAATGATTTAACATAGTTGACTTAATATCAATTTTTAATGTATATTTAAAGGAAACTTGTTACATTTACAGAGTGTTACCAATTACTTTTCACATCGGATGTTAGACGATAGATTATTTAACGAATAGACAATTGAAGAAGTTGTTTTTGTGATATTAACTGCCTTTTTTGACAAGTGTATCAAAACGAGGAAGGTTGTGTTTGAAATGCTGTTTTAAATTCTTTTTCCGTTAGTTTCATATAAGTATATGTCCTAGAATAGGGCACATCTAGTATATAAACGTTTTAAAATAATATGATGTAATATAGTTTAATAATAATCCACATTAAAAGATGTGCTCTAACTCTAGGTGTTTTTTAATTTATTCTAATTTGAGTGATAACTTCGTAAGGGCCAATTTTAAAATACAAATAAATATATTTATATCTATATAATTTGTTTCCTGTAGAGGTTATAATTGCTCGGGCTTGTTTAAAAGTTTTTGTTTCAAGCAATTCTATGATCTAAAAAGTTAATAATTTAGTTGACAACACAATATTATTTTGATTTCAGCTATATCATAATTATTGATTATTTTGGGGTTATTGCTTTGAATAAGAAGACTAAGGAAGTACTACATACGTGTAGTAAACCGATCATTTATGAAATTCACTTAAATTAACTAAATATATATTTTTCTTGCATTTTAGCTTTTTTACTACTTGTCAAAGATCAGATGTCAAAGAATTTAAATACGTTAATTTGACTTACCCAGTCAGTAGCGTCGGATGTTGTGTTAATAGATACTTATTATAATCTCTATCTACTTTTTATTAGAATTTTTATATTTTTATAACAATTTTAATAAATAACTACCAACATTTATTCACAACGTAAAATAAAAAAATATTGAGTCTACCGTCTACCCTACATCATAGTTTTACATTTTTAAATAAATTAGAACGGCACTGATAAAAACCGGAATTTAAGTCGGCCATATTTGAGGCCCATCGCGACCTAAGATTTTTGATATGCCTCTTCCTTAGTCTTCTTATTCAAAGGTTATTGACTACCGGGGATTTGATAGGGTGGTCCTGGGAACTGTATTTCGAATCATCGGCGTTATTATTTTGAACAAAATAAGTAAAAAATTCGTATAAATGTATATCTTAAAATGCTTATTTTCGGAGATACAGGGTGTAGTTTCACTTTTATTTCGATTATTTCCAAATAAGTTTTGAATTAACATCAATATTTGGATGAAAATTTGATGTCTGCGAGTTTTTTGACATGATAAATTTGATTTTGACGTCAATATGACTCCTATTTGTAGGGGGCGCCATCTACATGTGTTTTGAACTGGCTTCAAAAGAGTAATAACTTCTTTCAAAGACTCAAAAGCATAAAACTAATACTGAGTGAAAAATAATCTTCGAAAAATGATGATAAAAATACTTTTTTGTTGAACTTTTGGCACAAAAAACATTTCAAATTTGTGATTTCAGTCTAATAACTGTCATGTAGTCAGCATGTTTAATTTATGTCAATGAAGACAGGTATTGATAATTTCGATTCCAAATATCTCGAGAACCATTACTCGTAGCGATTTTTCCCAAGAGAACTTTTTTACGTAAAAAATGTCTGTGAATGTGAATATATATTTTTTTACTCAGTAGTTTTATACAGGTACGGATTAAAAGTTATTACTCTTAAAACCAGTTAAAAAATATGTAGGTGGCGCCCTCTACAAGTAAGAGTCATATTGACATTAAAATCAGATTTCTCATGTCAAAAAACTCCCAGACACCAATTTTCATCCAAATATTTACATCACATCATAAATTATTTGGAAAAAATTGAAATAAAAATGAAACTTCTACACCCTGTATCTCCGAAACTAAGCACTTTAGGACATACATTTATACGAATCCTTTTTACTTATTTTTATCTACAGAATATTCTGCTGAAGTTTTCGAATGATACAGTTTGGGACCACCCTGTAAATATTTGACTACTGAAATCAAAATATATTACTGGCTCAGCTATAGCTCCAACCAACGAGATGATACTCGACAGTGACAGTTGTGTTTGTCATTTTAACTCACAGGTAAATTGTATTTTCTGTCATTTTTTGGATGCCATCTGTCGAAATCTTCCCTCACTCTATTCTCTATTTTCTTCCCTATTTTTATGGTCATGGAAAACAATATGACTGTAAAAAAACGAATTTAAATAAAACGTCACAGTAGGTTAATAAATAAAATGATATTTCTACAGCTACTGTGATGTGTGATGTATATTAAATCACGTATAATTTTTGTAAATTTTCACAGCAGAATTTCTAAATATAAAGTAGCAGCTGTCGTAGTTTACTCACAATTTTTTTTATTTTTTCTCTGTTAAGAAATATCCCCAAAATGAAGTATATTTATTGAATTTAAAAGAATATTTTCATATATTATGGCCTTATAATTAAAAAAAATCAAACCAAAATTTAGTGTATATCTTTTTAGTTTTTTGTTCTTATTTTTCTGTTTGTAACGATCGGAATAAGTGGAAAAGATACTATTACCTATTAATAAATAATATTTCGAAGTTATATTAGGAATTTTTAAGATTTAAGGACGATCTATTATGTGAACGGGCTTATAGTAATATTTTTGATTGTAATTTTTAAAAACAAATATATAGTACCTGTACATAGAAGTGAAAACATTTTTTATATGTTGCCGATACGCGATCAAATAAAAACCAATTACAAAATGTTGTTTTAATTGCAAAATTCGTCCCTACCTGTATATTTTAACTGGATCAACACTTTGATTCGATTTTTAAAGGTAAGTATACAGGGTGGTCCAACAAAAGAAAACGTCAGTGCAGTTTATTAAGGTAACACGATGGAAAGCGAAATTATCTGGTTAAATTAATAATTTTAAATAGAACACCCTGTATATTATTACGTTTTTAGTTTCTACGATTAAAATAAAGGTAAATTTAATTGAGGTTTATTACACTTAAACCTTACCGTTTTAAAAATATTTTCAATTTTGTGAAATTGCAGTAAAAATTTTAAGGCTTCGTTTCTTCAAGGGTATCAAAGTTTTTAATACTAAATATTTACTGTAGTTTATTTATTGATCAGTTATTGTGTTGCAATAATAAAAATAAGTCTACCTCATACAGAGTGTCTAAAACTTTATTTTAAATAATTTCAAGCTTTAAACGGCAATAACTCGTTTAATTTAAATGAAACACCCTGTATATTTTAGGAGAATCAGATGCACAATTTAATTGTCTATCAAATTGTTTTATACCATTTTTTACCCACCCCTTCAAGTTTTCTTAGAAAATGCATTTTTTTATAACTTAGACCTCATTTATCAATATACCCATGGAATATTGACATTTTTATTTATTATAAAATTTATATTTAAATTAGTTTAAACCATGATAGTGACAGTTGTGTCTGCCGATCTAATTCGCAGCTTAAAAGTATCTCATTTTTTGATTTGTTCGACAGACTATAACTAAACTTATTTGCAATGACTTGTCTGTTCCGAAAGACTGGGCCACCCTGTATATACATGTATTTGTTTTGATGTCCAGACAGAATGGGATAGACATAAATTAGATTATTTTCTTTATAGATTACCTGTAAGGCAGGTGTAGTTTTCACACCAAATCTCGTTTAGGTACCTAATAATAAAATTATACAGAATATTTGTAAGCTTGAATATTATTTTTCATTTTCAAAAGGTAAAAAAAGAATTTATTCCAGTTATTTTCTAAATATAAATAAGTAAGGCACCTGCAATTTGATACAGTAGTAAAAAAACTTGATTTTTCACATTCAAAAAGTCTTTTTTTGAGTTATTTTGAATCCATAACTGTTTCTGTCTCTTTGGGTTCTTCGTCCATTTTCAACTGATCACCTTCTTTGGTATATTTAACCGACTGCCTTTGACTATTTCTGCCATACTGAGGGTTAGTAAAAGTACTGGTTCCAGGTTTATACAGGGGATTTTCGTGTCTGCTCCACTTCATATTTTCGCGCTCTTTCTCGAATTTGGCGTATTCGTTTTTGTCGTGTATCGTGGTCACTAATTTCCAAATTATTAGTGATACTATGCCTGCTAGTATGATGCTACCAACTATGCCAATGATTAGTCCTGAAACAATAAGAAAAATACATACTTTACGTCATCATTTAAAAATTATGTTTTTAATAAAACTAAAAATAACGCTCTTGACTAAACTACCTATTTATATTATTTGTTTGAGCTTTACCGAGTATGTTTGGTGGTTCTGGACATGATTTCTTCTTTTCAGCAGTCAGCATTATAGTCTGATCATCGTAGCTGTACATGAAATTAATGGTACAATCGCCATCGACTAAATTCCGACATCTTTTAGCTCCTTCTGGCAAGATTTCTTCTAAAGCATCCACCAGTTGGATGTCCAGGTTTCCACATTTTTCGGATATGTTAAAATTGTTATTGAAAGTGTTATTTTTCTCGTCTAGTATGAGGTGTTCGATGCAGGGCCTGAATTCATCACATCTGGAATATAAAAAAATTATTTTAAATACAGTTTATACTGCAGATAAATTAGTAAATCATTTTAATTATCTGAAATTTCCTTCTACACTTTAAGTAAATAATGCCTTTATTGTCAAAAAATTTTGCAATTTGTAGACAAAGGTAAAGTAAAAAAACAAACAAACAAACAAAAGAGAATACAAAACAAGTATAAAAATTACATTGTCAGTCTTATTGTTTAAAATAAACATTTATAAATGTTTACAATGTCAAAGAATAAAAAAATAAAAATAAGATTCAACAATATTTAGTAAGTTTATAGTAAATATAGTAATAGCAAATATTAGACCAGTGTT